AGTTTTGTACAATTTTTATAGGCGTGGCATTCGATTTTATCCTATTTGTGCAATGCTGCTGTAGCTTCTGTGTATGTTTGTGCTCATGTGAGTGAAAATGTATCCTACTGAGTTCGTACCGATCCGATCTTACTAATTTGTATAAGTCGGGTGCAGGTTGTGTTCTCATACTTATGTTTTTCTACAGGTTGGGTTCTAAGGCTTTGTACATAATTTCTTATATTTATACTTTTATATCGGTTTGAACATAATTTCTTGGATTCGTGCTTTTATACAGTTTTGGACATAATTTCTTGTATTCATGCTTTTATGCAGGTCTGTACACAATTTCTTGCATTCATGCTTTTATACAGGTTTTATACAGGTTTTATACAGGTTTGTATAGAATTTCTTATATTTGTGCTTTCATGCCGGTTGGTTCTAAGGCTTTGTACATAGTTTCTTATATTTATGCTTTTATACACAGTTTTGATCTGACGCTTTTATACATATTGTCTTCTACTTATGCTTATGCTGGAGGAGGTTGTGCATGTTTTTATTAACCCAAACGGACGTGCACGGACAGATCGGACTGACTGGTTGCGGACGATGAGTACCCTGGGGCGGACGCACTTGTTCTTAGTAAGGAAGCAAAAACGCTTCCTTACAACATGTTGAAAAGTTTGTTTCACGTCGACGTTATTCACCCACAAATCTATGTTTCTATCGTCCCTACTAAAAGCTGAAAGAACTTGTTCTGCTTTAGATAACCTCGTTAATTTTAAAGTAAAACAAAAACTCCTATTTAGCAGTATAGTTTGAATACACTCCAAAACATTTTCCTTATGTCTACAACACCATAATTTGACATCGTCGTTTGAATCCGTCGCTGCAATAGTTAAAAGCCATTCACCACTACAGTATTGTAGACCAGTTACAGCTTTAACGTCGCTCTCATGGCCTTTCAGTTCAAATGCCAGAGGCTCGGTTAACTGCTTAATATCTCAAAATATAGCCAGACCATCATCAGAACCAGATATACTCGCATACTCGTTTTTATGGGCTGGCGGTGAGCGGCGGCATATCTTGTTTGCCAATCTAAAATTAAATAGAAATTAGTAAATAAGCTATCAATAACAATGAGCAAAGATAAATGCGAACTTACCTTTGGAGTATAGCGAATATCAATTCATTGTGAGGTGGAGCGGGGGACTGGACGTGCGGAGGCGTATACTAGTTTTCGATTGAACCATGTTGTACTAGCAGCAGCAGTTGATTTACGATTCTGAACCTCTTCAACTGCAAAACGAAACATTTCTGGATGATTTGAAGTTTGGCACGGGCTGAAAGGCTTCTTTTTATTTTAAAAAAGGTCTTTTTCATTGACGCTTTGTGCGGTGAGTTAAGTGGAGAGTTTGAGTTGTGGTGCTGACAAGAACGGAGTGTGTTGGTTTAGGGTAGAAAAGGTATGCATTCGATTACTGCTAAAATTCCTCAGATCTTGACATTACAGCGACTGCTAACATGCCAGTCAACTTCGATCATTTCTCCGATTTTATCGACATTTTCGACGACCGGCCTACCTGTGCGAGGTGCATCTTTAACATCAAAAATTCCTGAACGGAATCTACGAAACCAAAATTGCACATAATTGGCTGTTACAGTATCGCAACCATAAACACCATTCACAATTTTAGCCGGCTGGCTTGCATTTTCGCCTTTGTCAAAGAAAAACTGTAAAATGTACCGAATTTTCTCTTTGTTCACTTCCATTTTTAACACGCTGTAACTCACAACTGAATGCACCAAACAAAAAACAGCAAAAGAATTTTTTTTACTGCGAAATGTCACCTTTCCAACGAGCATAAATCTGAAATTGTTTGATCGATACTTTACGAGAAATCTATCAGTGCAGCCATCTACCGAAAAAATAATGGATTTCTTTTTCCCCAAACTAATATATATACACGTTAATATCTTAATGGCATTATGCCAAAAATATATATGAAGAAGTCTCTTGCCAGTATGGCGTTACGAAATCGGAATACTATTAAGGATGTTGTTATACCGCCCACAATTAACTAAACGCATTATTATCGGCCATAAAACGTCTTTTACACAAGCTGAAAGACGAAGGGAAATATCAGCAGCTTTAGCGAAAAAATGTGAAGGAAGATCGCGAGAGGAACTCACGCTTATTACCAATGGTGTGGAAAGTGAAGCTTTACTGCAGTGTCAACTTACGTATTTTTATTAAAATCTAAGGTAAAATAAAATGCAAAAACAAATAGAACATATAGAACACATTTGATATAAAGTATGCCCACACTATTTAAGAGATTTCGAAAAATAAGTGCAAAGTTTTTCCTTTTATTACGAAATATAGTTTAAACTATATACCAGAAATTCGAGAATGCGTAATGTAATATAATAAAAACAATTTTAAATGAATGAGAAAAAGTAAATAAATACATATTATGTATATTTAAAAAAAAAATATATATATATAGTGTTTGGATAAGCGATATATCCAACCGCTGAAGCGGAGTATGGGTGCGCGTGAGTTGGGGTAAGGCGACAGGAAAGGTGTACTGACGGACTAGAAAGAGACCAACGAACAGCGAACAGCACAGACAACAGGCCTCATAGACGGACTTAATCGGTGGGCCCAGTCACACCGTCTGAGCTCCTTAAGGGTTTCGTTAGAACCCTCTTATAAAGTTTTTTTTTGTCAGGCGGCACGGCATGTCGTAAATTTCGTAAACGCTCTACCGCAAAGGAGACTATTTTTATGAAGTTCATCTTTCAATTTTCCGCGGTCGTGCAGTCCTATACTTTTCTATTCATAGATTTGAGCAAGTCTTTGGCTTTGTTTAACTCCGCCAAGTATTTTTTTTGCGCGTGCATATGTAACATCCAGAAGGGCTTAACATAGTCCCACCTTTTATTATACCAAGAATAAATATTTGGATCGTTCTAAGCTTGTCCGTCCATTTGACGTCTATTTATGTATTATTCTGTTCAACATATTGGTCGCAATTTTTGAGATATTTTGATGAAATTTTATATATAGACGTAATTTGGCCCAAGGACGGACGCTGAAACGGTTCGGATAGGTTCACTTTTTCGTCCACCCCCCATATTACGTCTTAGTTATAGTGGTTGTATGAGAAGAAATCCATTTTTCAAAATTTTTCAAATCAAAGTTCCTGTGTAATAGTAATTCGGCATATTAAATTGGTGTGAAAAAGTTGATTAGGCTGGGGTAATTTTAGAACCCCATTTGGACGTCAAGAAAAAAAGTCGGTGACTTTCGAACGAATTATTTTTAGCAACAGAAAAATAATTTTGCCACATAGACGGAACAATGCACAAACCTTGCTTAAGCATGTACATATTTGTTTACATCTACATGTATAAATGGATGTTTATGTATAAATATAGAAAATTATAGAATAATTAAAAATAATTTATTGAAATTATCATTTTGAAAGCCGTTTTCGAAACATGCTTATACTAAATTTTACAATCTCTTTGCAACGACGGGGAGGACTCACCCGGCATAATGTAAGAAAAAGAATTATTTTTGTGTATACCATTGTCTGTCTTAGAAGTTCTCTTATCTGGTTTGGCAGTGTTTGACTGCCATTGAAAGCTCGAAAATTAGAATTAATAAAATTTCAATTAATTGACTTTAAAATGATTAATGTTTTAGATCCTGAAGCTAAATCTAACCTGAACTGAGCACTGTGAGCACACTAGATAGTATCTATTGTTATTCTAAAATATAAAGTGTAAAGGTTTTTGCTAAAGGGCTTTCCGTAACCGTTAATTTTGTTTTTAGACTTTTAACTTTCTCTATGTAAATCCTTTAACTTGCTAAAGTCCACTATTTGACCATCTTTATAATTCAGCTAACAGTTGTACTTTGATATAGAGCACGGTTATTGATCCTAAGAAAAAACAATCCGTTTTATCTTTGCAATTTTTATGGTCTTGTATTATATTTAATCTTCGCGGGAAGCAGCACAATCAGAATAAAACGCTTCCAATATCAGTTTTGTTATAAAGTAAGTAAAGCGAGCTTATTAAGAAAGGCATAAATGAAAAAGTGAGTTGTGACTTGGCAACTCTCTGTAATGTCGCTCAAAATACGATTGCACATTATGTTAAAAGTTCATGACGAGAAAATGATGATTTTCATCAAAAAATTCTTCCCGGCGATGATATCCGCTTGTGGCTTTTAATGACCCTATTAAAACGCAGTAGCGACGAGGCCGCAGGTTGCATAACTGGTAGTTACGATCGCAACATGCTGGTCAATAAATTTAGCAGCAATTTAGGACGACATAATTCTTGTTATAGAGTTGATGGAAGAGTCTAGTTATAGAAAGGGAAATTCCTTTGAGAGCGTACTAAATAAGGAAACCAGATAAAGACGGAAGATTTTATTGAAGGTAAACGATTCTTTTGTAATTTCTACATAAACATAACACATTCTGATTCAATTTCAAATTGCGTTAATCAATCTATACGCCACGTAGAATAAATAAAAATTCTACAATGGGTCATGACCCATCATTAAATGCCTTACGCCACTCTGCAGTTCTTCATGTGAAGACTTCTCGGAATAAGGCGTTACATGAATTGTGGTCGAAAAAGTGACTCGATCCGAATCCGATGCTTCCTTGTGCTAATGCCAGGTTTAACAAAATATGTTAAAAACTGCCACCTTTGGATTGAAGAAGAAATTACAAGACAGACAGAAAGACAGACGAGCTCAGCATATGAGTCAGTGATTCAGATGCACTAAAAGATGGGCATATTTCACGTTCGTCTTGGTGTTGTTGATGGTTATGCTGCAAGCGGTGTGGGGTATAAAAAGGAAAAATAATATTTATTATATATCTTTTATGTGCACAAATATTTCCGATCGGCGTTTTCGGGTTAAATGCTATGCTAGCGAGATTCGCTCTAAGGTAAGTGTAGCTCGCTAAGTTGTTTTATGCAACTGGCTTTCGACTTGAATTCTTGACGGAAATATCATTATCATATATGGACTACATATGCTCAAACATACACATGCGCATGGAATGAGGAATAATTGTGAGAGAGATTAAAAGTTGAAACGAAAACAAATGCGCCAACGTTTTCTTTTTTTTCCCTTCAGGCCGAATATTGTACACACTTGGTTTGCTTAGGTTTAGAATAAGGTTAATGGATGGGATTTGTCTCAAGGGCCAGTAATAGTCACGCCCAAATTTAAGGAAAACCTAAGCCATTACCATTAATATCTATAGATTTTGATATAACTCGATACGCTTCACATGGAATGCACCCTATTTCGTAGTTGTAACTAACGACTAACATTAATAATTAATGTCCCGAAAATTACAAGTTCTTACAATATTTTAGAGCATCGATGGTATGAGTATAGCATAGGATAAGTGCATAAATTTTTGAGAAGAGAAAATGATTTTCGATTGTTAAGAATACATACGAGCGTGCAATAGCAAAGCCTTTGTTTTGACTGCTTGTGGATTCTCATATCAAAGTAAAAAAAAAAAAAAGTCAAATAAACTCGTCATAAAGTGTTTGAGTTTCTACATTGTTGCCCTTGCGGTCAAATTGAGAGTCAGTTTGTGATAGTGAAAGGGGGTGAAGAGAGAGAGAGGTATGTGAAGTAAGTAAGAGTGTTTTAATATCGTTCTGTAAGACTTAAGCAAAGCACCAGTGCTAAGCACATGAGTTCTTAATTTAACGCATCATGTTTATAATTTGTTTCATTGCATTGGCTTTGCCACTTGAATTCTGTGTAAATAATACTAAAACGAAAAATCGCGTTAGTTGAATTTCAAGCTAACAACGAAACGTTTACAATTCTTAAGCGACTTTTTCCGGAGCGGGATATTTTGAAAGTAAAAAAAAGTATTTAATTTTATTTAAAATCAACTGAAAGTGAAATAAACAAATTTTTTCAATTATTCTTGTTTTTCGTTAAAGGCGGCTCTCTCATAATATTCTGGCTGAGAATGATTGTCGCGCTACTATGCATTCGATGAGTAATCAATATAATGCAAAGTATATAAAAACCTTACATTAAAAAACCTAGCAACTGAAAGTAATCAATGACATTAGCTTGGTGTTGATTGATAGACAAATTACTGCAATTTTTATATTATTAATAACAGAACGGACACCATTGCATATTTTCTGAATCGATGGAAGCATACACAGAGTTTACAATTTACTTTTGGTTGTTATACTTGTTGTTATTCGGTCCATTTACGTTTGTAGTTTGCGTTTATTTACCCGAGATACCAGTATATTTTATTAAGAGTATAATTAAAGGTCAAAATATTTAGTTATTGTTATGTGCATATAGTATATTTAAGAATAATGCCTTCTCTTAATTTCTATCACTTTAATAATTTACTAATGCATATGCTAGCGTAAAATAAACATTAAATGTTTTGCTTATCGCTAAAAACTTGTTTAGTTTTTTCAATTACATTTTCTTCGGATATAAATAACTATTGAAGTTCATTAATTTGTTCTTTTATTATGCATACAAACATTAAACTATTTTTATACCCATTATCCAAGCATGTACATGTACACATCAAAACTGTTGCAATACTCGAAAGAAAGGCTTAGAGACTCCATGGGTTATTTATATATTCTCACTCAGCATTAAATACTAGGCTGATTTAGAGATGTCCGCCTGTGCTAGACATTCTCCTGATCGCAAAAAAGAAGCTATCTACTTCAAATTTGGTCGAAACATTAGAAGTTCCTAGGCCTAAGTTGGTAATAAAATTGAGCCAAAGGAGAAGCTTCATAGAGAGCCTATAAAGTCCATATAAGTGTGAAATCTGCATCGTTTTAGGAATGTTTGTCAATCCGTCCGTCGATCTGTCTGTTAATTGCGTCTTTGGTTTATTGTACGATCCCATTCTATAAATTCCATTTTTATTCTATTAAGAAGAAAAAATTAGGCGCGCCCACTTAATGGAAGAAAAGAAATCTAATTTTTTTTGGCTTTTTTTGAATCTTTTTAGAATAAAAGCGATTGATGTGAACGACTCAGGCTGAATGAAATTTTCTTACTAAATGTAATCTTTTTTTTAAGACACATCTGTAATAACAATGTCGTTCGGCAGAATATCATTGCTACTCTGCTTGTAAATCAGCACTTTTAATGAATTTAATTACACGAATTAATTTCGAACTTCTTTAAATATTGAATTGTAGGCAGATGGTGGAGATATAAAAAACCCCAGGGCACAATGCGTAGATTATAACGTCTGAGTGATGAATTTATTTCAATGTAGATACTTGAGCGTGTTGTAATTTAAATTGGTCTTCAACTGGATTTTGGTACACGTAGACATCTCTTGTTAAAAGCATAACTAATATTGATCAGAGTTCGCTGTGTGACAAACTGACCATTATACGTATCATTCAATACGTTCGTAGCATGGAATTTTCAAATAATTCCAACTTTCAAACGAAACAAGTCTAAATGTCACGACATTCCGAACTTTACTTTGCAAGTCGTAGTTGTTTTAGTGACGCTACTTATGCAAACAATCGAAAAATTTAAATATCCTTTGTTGATTAAATATTGATTTTTGATGATAAAGAATTCGTTCACAATTAGCATTACCTTAAAAGATGTTATGGCGAGTCTCGTCTATCGAGAAAATAACTTCGCGTGTGATTCGCTAGTTTTAAGCAAGGTCGTATGGACATCTATGACACTGAACGCTCTGATCGCTCGAAATCATCGGTTGTTCCAGGAAACATAAGAGAACTAACAAAATCGTGATAGGAGACTAAATCATAAGTTGGTGTACTTATTAATCTGCGTGAGCGCGTGTCAATGAGAAACGTCCGCTCGAAGGGGATATCGTGTGCGTTCACAGTTGAAGGAAAAGTTTTGTTGTCAATGCTATTTGGCGTTGTTTAGGCGAAATAAAAAGTATTTTTTCGTAAATGCATTCCACAGTCAAATTGGCAGTTAGTCGAGAGGGTATCAATTGGCGGCAGTCGTCCAAAGCGGCTAAAAAAGCGCTTCCACTAAAACTGCTGTAAGTTGCAAATTTATCGTGGAAATGTCATAAAATATGGAAAGTCGAGAAAAATTACCCGGATTCGTCGATGGTCTCGTCTACTATGCTATGAACTTATTGAGTTGTGTGTTATTTAATTGCTGGTGAAGACATTTTGTTAAAAGCGGATCTCATTACCGTTCAATTAATTTCATTTCAGTTCTAAAACATTTACTCGCACGGCATGATATCGATCAAAATTCGATGTTTTAAACCTATGAAAAATTTATGTTAAACACTCCGCGTAATTAGCCGAGTAATCAAAGTATGGCGATCAGCAACTCCATGATCGCGAGTTCAAATCTCAAATGCGGTAGAGTTTTCAATACAGGGCAAGGTATCCGACAGCCTTTAACACCCATACTTTGTAAATTCTTTTATAAAATATGTAGACAATAAATAAATAAATATTGAAAAAAAAAATTCTTAAAAATATTTTTTTTAACATTTTTTATATACCCACAATTGGTTTTCTCTTATCGTTCATTCTGAAAGGAGTTTGAAACAGGAATGAGAACTAACAACTAGAAGGTCAGTCTAGTCATTTTAATACAGCTAAATATTATTTTGATGGCATATCCTCCAAGCGTTTTAAAGATCTGCTGGGTCTGAAACGCTCCGAATACAGGTCTTCGAACTTTGGAAACGTTTTGAAATTCAAAAGGTTTACGTTAAATCATAAAATTTTCTCTATGATCGCAAAGGAGAGGAGCAGATTTTTTAAGGATTCATTTATGCGCTGCAATAGTACGACCAAGGCAAACTCTTACAAATGCTTTAATCTTAATTACCTCGACTTTAATGGGTGGAATGAAATTATAATTAAAAACGTTGGTTACATCGTGTACGATGTAATTAACTTGAACTTGGTCAGTAGCGTTCACCATTGCATAGGCGGGTGACATATTGTCGCTCTTATAACCGTCTGTAAACAGAACATGCTAACCATTACCTCCCCAGAAGTGTGTTCCTCTGCAATTAGTTCTCTGGAGGCGAGATTCGTGCAGATGCCTTTTTGTATGCCGAGAGAGAGAGAGAGAGAAGAGTTGATTTTTTCAGCATTTTAACCCTTCTCTACACAAACCAACAGTTTCAGATTTAACATTAATAAGTTATTCAGTGTATACAGATGGTAGTAATGGAATGCTGAATATAGCATTCATTTGAAGAAATCTGTTGCCGAAGCCTATTAAAACCTTTAAAAAGGTTATGGTAATGCTGGCGCATCTCAGCTGTCTGTTTTAGTTTCAACGGTTTAACCATGACGATTTTGATATCAATTGCAAAGAACGGTTTGAAGGACCAGGCAAGTTCAAAGACAGTGAATTGCAAGAATTATTGGACGAAAACCCAGCTCAAACTCTTAAGAAACTTTCGTGCAGCTTAACAGTCAATAGATCAACTGTTTTTAGACGTTTCCATGCGATGGGAAAGATCAAAAAGGAATGAAAATGGCTACCATACAAACTGACCGAAAATGCCATTTCGAACCGTTCCATCACCGCGGTTTCATTGGTTGCTACGCAAAAAAAGAATAGTTTTCTGTGGCGTATTGTGACTGGTGACGAAAAGTAGATCTGTTACGAAAGCCCCAAGAGAGAGAGAGAGATTTAGCGTGTTACGAGTTGGTAAAATCGAACGAGAGTATTACTGCAGATATCTGCAGACGTCAAATGTACAAATTGACCGATGTATTATTGCAAAAAAAACAGCCGGCAATAGCGACTAACAGACGTAAAGTCATCTTCTCACACGGCAATGCTCGACCATATCTTTCAAGATTTGTCAAGGATATCTTTTTGCAGCTCGAACGGGAATTTGTGCCGCACCCAGCGTACTCACCGGACATAGCGCCTTTAATTTACCACTTGCTCACATGACCACTTACATAGCTTGGCTGGCACGTGGTTTCGAAATGTTTAAAAAGTGCGAAAACGGGCCGATGTTTAGATAGTTGTCAAGCCAATATTGTTCCTTTGATATTGTATCGCTATATTGCGAAAAAGATGGGAAAAATTTATAAAAAATGATGGAAAACATTTTCATTAATATATGATGTACCAATTTTTCTCAATAAATGCCTTTTTTAAGGGAAGAAATGCTCAAAATACATGCAAGAATCCAGCACTTCAAAGATGCTAAGATCAGATATTGCTGATATCGATCAAGTAAAGTTTTCAATAAAATTCTAAATTTAGTAATTTTCGAAATCGGGGATCAGTCAAAATGCTCCAAACGATCCAATAGACCCAATAGATCATCGTAGGCTGACTACCTGCTTTGTAATCTGCTACCAAATACTTCCTTTCGAAAAGCAATGCAACTTCGGGAATACGGGTTATAGAAGGATTTTTTTCAAATTTGATTTGACTTGATAAAACACTCTGTTATGTTTTAAAGAAAAAAAATATATTTTTTATTATTATGTTATCGAAATATTTTTGATTAAGACAAAATCAAACATTAGAACGAGCACACGAAAATCGAACGCTGATAACTTTTTACTTATATTTTTAGATTTAAATAATAATCCGTATATCTGCAAATGAAAATATTTCGATTCATCTCAAGGCAAAATTAACAAATTTTAGATATGGAGGAACAACCATCCTTTGAAACTATGCAATATCCAGTTCATACAAATACGTTCTCTGTACCCAAAGATCCGCTTCTACGGCAAGTTTACGATGTTTACAAGCCTTGCCCACACATATTTAAGTTGAAAAGCGAAAGTGGTCGTACAATTTATGCGGAGGCTTTTATTGAGGATAGCAATCTTGGTACGCTTGTCGATTTATCCGTACGAGCTTTAGCTCGAGCCTTTGGACCGGATCCATTGCCTATGATTGCCTCTAATCCCTCACATTTGAAAACTCATTACGATAGTTTAGACGTTGAAATGCCTTTAAAGGACTGTTATCATATAGATAATGACCGTTTCTGGAAGCGTGTCGTCCTTGCCAAGAGCCCTGATCAAACGTTGGCTCTTAAACCCGATTACAATTGGAAAAGTGCTGGCATTTCAATGAAATTTGTTGAAATAGTCGAAGCTTGCGCCGCCGAATTTTGGCCTGAAGAGGAAATGACAAGATTAGCGCTAAACATTCGTGGATGGGTTCGTGACATGCACATACGTCGCCTTCAATCATTGCAAGATTATTGTTTCGAAAAGTATTTCCGTATGGAGTCATCGTCGTCGTCAGGAGAAGACGACGAAGAGATATCAGAAATCACAGAAACAACAACAACAACAACTACGCCCGACGAAACCGAACCAACGGATATAGGTGAGGAAGAGAAAACCGAATCGCAATTTGAATTGGAACGATTAGTGGTCGAAGAGAAAGCCGAACGAAAACGACTGCGTGAAGAGTTACGCGAAGTTCGGCAAAAAGCTCGCGAAGAGCGCGAGGCAAGACGTAAGCGTCACGCAGCCAAACGCGAAAAAAAACTTGAACTGGAGTTGAAAAAGGGCAAAAAGAAGAAAAAGAAACAACCCAAAGATTTTCACGGCATTGAACTTACCAGCAGTGAGGAGGATGTCGAAGCGAAAATATGTGATAAAAGGAACAAAGAGTTATTCCTTACCTATAAGAAAATGTATGATTATCCTCCAGATCATTGCCATCATATAGATTTACGCTTCATTCAATGGTTTACAAACTTGGATACATTTATTATCGAGTTTCTGGGGCCTGAGTTGCATCGTAACTATCACTCCAGGCATTTGAACTTTTCTTATGATGACATCAAACGATTATCTTTGTAAGTCCATCTTTCAAGAGATTTATTATTTCTAATGGGTGTTTTTGCAGCGGTATAAGCCGTTTACCAGTATTGCGTGTTTTCCGCTTACGTAACAGTCGTATGGATACCAGAAAGTTAGGTATTTTACTTGATGGCCTAAAGGATGTTAGCACACTGGAAATTCTTGATCTTGGTTATGACTGCTTGAATGATACGTGCGGTCAACATTTTAAAAAATTGTTTACAAACTCCCAAGCATTACATTCATTAGAACTGGAGTCAAATGATTTGGGCGCACAAGCTATGAAAGATTTAAGTTTGGCTTTGTTAAACTACAGCCAAAACAAATTGAAATATTTGGGACTCGCTCGCAATCCTCTCAGCGATGAGGCTTTGCATTCCCTTATATCAGCCATTTACGATACCGAACATATTGAAACTTTGAACCTAAAAGGGGTCACGCATATAACAGAAGTGGGCGTAGCGTGTTGTATTGCCGATGAATTGTTACGCAAACACCGGGATCTTTTGGCTTTGGACATAAGTGCAATTCATGTAAACGGCTATGCAGCCGATGAAATAATGAAGGCTTTGCAACCGAATACAAAAATACGAACACTTCATTGTCGCGGTTGCGATTTGGATGAAGAAACAGAAACAGACATTAACGTGATATTAAAGCGGAACAGATATGTTGCAGAAAATCCATTTATTGGTAACGAAAATGTGACTAATGAAGAAATCGATGCATGGATTAATCGCACCAAGTATAATATATATGAGATTATTGCAGTTTTTTTTTTCAAACTTTTTTTTCGATTTTTAATTTTCAGAAACCCTATAATGTTGGCTGTGTTAGCCGAAAGAGAAAAACGAGATCTCTGTCTATTTCAACGCCCCCTTGAATTTGTTTATAAATCGGATATGGCGACTGTAGAAAAAGATGTTGGTCTAACTAACGGTGAAAAGGAGTCAGTAATGTCGAGCTCTGGAACTTCAGAATCGAAACAACTCCGGCCCTTCGAGTACAAATCGAATGAATTTGATGAAAACCAATTTATGGAACATGTACACCTACCAGGTCATAGCGAACGCTATTACTTCTTCAAAGCTAGAAGGCGTAGACATGTCTAACACTAGATATCCCATAAACGAATTAGCGATAAAGGATTTTTCGATTACAATTTATGCATGTCGATAACAGGTTTTCATAGCAACCTATGCTTTCACTTCGATTCAACAACCTGTTTGGTTTTATTTTGCTTTCAACGAACTTAAAAAAAAAAATAATAAGAAATGCTCGATTAAATTGAAAAATTGTCAAATTTCGTCGATTGTTGTTGCTGTTGCCCAAAATTAAAACACTACGTCAATTATCAGTTTGTGTCTATTTTTTTACAATTTTTATTGTTGTTCAAAAAAAAAAAAAAAAAAAAAACACAAAAAAATACAAAAAAAGCTAACCTAAATATATTTCTAACGAATTTTGCGGCGGTAGAGGCTCGCAAAAAAAAGATGAAAATTTTTAAAATTGTTTAAATTCTTTGAACGAAAATTTCGCAACTGACAGAAAATGGAAAAGGCGGAAAAGAAAGCCAAAATCACTCTACCGAACGATAAATCTTCAAAAACCACAATCGCTGATAAAACTGTAAAGATTGCCGGTGGTGACAAACTAACGCCTAAAGGCAAATCTGCTGCAAAGGTTTGTATACACTTTTTTCGAATTAAAGCATCGTATCTGCCGGAATCGGCATAAATATATATATATATATTTTTTTAAATTATTTATAGACCGCGGCGTGCGCTTCAAACATTGATTCGGCACTAAATATAAAACAAGAGTTTCTATACGATTCCACTTTTTTAGTCGCAGAGTATTACACAGACACGCACACACGCTAAGATACACCCCTTAGTCATAAACACCATTTATGGAAGAAGAAAAGTGTAGTTATTTAACATTTAAAATACTTATTTCCTTTTAATAGGTGACTGTAGGAAAGAGTATCCTTGTAGCCTTGTACGATAGGCACGTACGTTTGCTTCAAAACTTGTTTTTAACTTGATGGATTTTTGTCACGAAATATATATACATTTTTTTTTGGCACTTTATACTAACCTGCATAATTATTATGTTTGCGTAAATGCTTACCATCAAGAGAGATACAACAATGTATCGCTTATTTATACTATTAATCTCGTAGTTATATAGTTTTCTTGGCTTTTGTTCTGAAAATTATTATTATACATCTAAAATTATTATCGAAAGCTCTCAAGTCACAGATGAGCAGATGAACTTGGCTAAATAGTTCTTAAATTTTAAAAATATATATACTTCATTGGATTATATCGCGAATTTCTAGCGTTTTATTCACTTGATAAGGCATAGCTAAGCAATCGAACTTGGTTCGAATTTCGTAAGATACACATATTAATTTTTTTTTGATTTTTATGCACATTTTTATGACTTTTGCAATTGAAATAATAAATATTTTTCATATGTTTATAAATGCGGAGCGAAAATCCAGTAAAATTCGAAAACAAAGTGGCTAAGTTTATGCTTTCATAAGTGCCACGAAATGGTTAGTTAGTGATTGTTGTATACGAGGTTATATATGGTATCTTAAATAATACGGTAAATATCGTTCCGACGAAATCGATGCAAGTCTCAATTTGTTTGCGATCGAGTGACAGTTTCTCTTAACCAAATTTCCAAAGCATATTAATTTACGGCATTGCCTTCTTCTATATATTGATAGCCCAATATGATTGCAACACACGTTTTATTTCTTCTTGGAAACAAGACTTCAAAAATCATCTCTTCCCTCTATTTCAATTAAAAATTCCACAAATTCAGTGAACAAATTTGATGAGTGTTTTCAAAAAATCTTGGCATATTATTGCTTGAAAGGTGTAAAAAAGGGTACTACAAGTAAAGGCCGTTTCCATAAAAAATGTAATTTGACAGTCAGTTAGCTGTGTAAATCTGTTTAACAACATTTTCTTACACTTAATGTTGAACCTAAGATTAATTCTTGTTAACCATTACCAACAAACAGAGCAAATAAAAACAAAAGAATAGCTATCGGAACCAGCATGTGACTTATAAAATGAGATCAGAGAGCCATCCAAGCTAAGCGAAAAAATCAATTACAATAATTGAAAATTCAATCGCAACAATGCAACTAATAGTTAGCAAAACGTCCTTCAGATGCCCTAGGTATGGACAAAGTAACATGAACCCTTGGCATATATGCAATAATCATTTACTAATTAAAGGTTAGGCCAGCCACAAATTCATCTCGGAATAGATTCATGGATTTCAATCGAGTGTTGTCTAAATCTTATATCAAAACACACCAACAATCGATCACAAACGATTCGTTCTTTTTCCAAGTCTGGGAAATTACATATATCGCCGATCACTTGTTTTAGTCGTCACAGAGCAAAACGTATAATACGCTAACACTAGTATGTAGCCCACTATTTACGCGGAAGTAGCATTGACAACCAGCATTACTTAGGGTTCATCTTATTTCGTCCTTTCCCTGTATTTGGAAAAAGCAAATAATTTAATTTCCAGTTAAGCTTGCTTAATAAGGAAACTACAATGAATTCTTATCGCTCGGAACCATCCTTTTTTTTGAAAAATATTTAAATAGATATTTGGTTTTAATTGTAATATTGCCAAAGATTTTTTGTCGTTTTCGAAAGTTAGTTCAAAAATTTATAAGAGACTGCTTTAAACTTTAGACCTTTTATCTGAAGGACATGATTGCCTTATCTCAAAGTCTTATATTAATGGAGGTTATGAAGGTCATGGGCATTAGAAGCGGAATAAAATTGTTATGGTAATGCATTTTTAATAATATGATTTTTTAAGAGATGACCTTGTGGCATCCTGAAACAATCTGTGGGAGATGTCGGTTTTCCAAATTTAATCGAAAAACGCACCGCATTCGATCGCACAGGTATTCATTTCCTGTGAACAAATTCAAATCATTATCAATCTTGTGTGCTGATCTTTCATTCAATGAATGTATTTTATTGGAATCGGAGCATGAAATATACAATCAAATTCATAAAGTGTTCCATAGTTCGCTTGTAGAAGTCAATTATTGAAGATTGTAACTCGATATTAGCGCCTGTGAAAAAAGTTATGGAAATTTGAAGTAAGGTTTTTTTTTTGAAAAATGTTACTCTAGATGCCCATGTTTATTCTTATTTCACCTATTTTAACGCGAGAAGAACCAAATCAAATAGTGGCGAGTTTGTAGAAAGGCTCTAAGCAATTAATTAAATGTCCATGAGACATTCGGGTTTTATTTCCAAATTTTGCAAATACGTTACCTCATATATTAGCTTAACCTTTCATGTTTGAAATCATGCAACTAGTAATCGTGTAAATCCATCATTTACTGTATTTCCACATTTATTATTTCTTCCAAAACATCAATGAAATCAATAAGTAATAATTTATATAAATACAAAAGAATACTATGCGTATGAGTGATTTATTGTAATTCCATTACCAAGCCGTCAGATATGATTAGCGAATAGACTCAAATAAGCTCGAGTAATATAATTGCATGCAAAAAGCCTTTAAGGCGGCAATAAACAGTCAAAAAACAAACAAAGTAAACTAAAGAAACAAGTTCCCATTATGAAGTGCACTTTTCGTGAAAAAAATATTGCATAGATATACAAAAATAGTCTGCCAATACAGTCAAAGTTCCTCAAAGCTTCCGGGAATAACTCCGGAATTGATAGTACTTAACTAATCACCTTTATATCTCCGCCTTCCAATAAAAGAGACCTGCATCACCTGCAAGTTTTGCTATCAGCTATAAATCAAAACGAACAACCTGTTTGAAAACTTTAACACTCCACTGGATATATTCATCTTACTGCTAACAAGCAGGCCTAATTTAATCACATAAACAACAACTGGTCCCCATTTAAGAGGGTGCACTTACCTCAGTGTATAAACCAAATATAAAAGAACTCTTGTTAGCTCATTTTGATAGTAAGTTTGAGATGCTTTCTTTACTTTTGAAATACTCACTTTCGCTTACGAAATTATAAATTTTGGGGGAAGCAAGGTAAAGGAAAGTTCCATACATAAATACAAAAAACAATTAGATTCTTTGAAAATCAACCGATGTGCATTGTTTGAAACTGAACCAGCTCAGCCTCGAGATAAGTTGATTTTTTTTCGATATTGTCCTTAATACATACCAAGCAAGGCAAGTCTTTTTATTCCTGTCCGTATTTTATAGCTTTACTATAAGCTTGCCGCGCGTTATTATACATGAATTTTCTTTGAAAAGCAGTTAGTGAAGACCGGGCTCATGTAAGGATAAATGCTGAAATTCGTAGCCTACCAGCTCAGCTATTCACCTTTGCTCTTTGGCTTCTTTTTGTAGTCTGCTCTTTTGAAATTATTCCAAACTGACATGTGGTTGATGATTATTGCATCTACTATTTCTTCATCGTTTGCGTGCTGATCTTGCTTCGCTAGTTGCAAAACTTCGGAATTTTCAGTGACTGCGAGGTGAATCTTTAACTTCGAAATTTCCGGAACGGAACCGTGCAAACCGCTCGTGGGTCGTTCATTCACCGCAGCAGTCGTACTTCACTATTTTTTTTTTTATAGTTTTTACCTTTTTATTTATTTATATATTATATTTTTACACTCATTTTGTCATTCATTTGTGGCAACGCCCAGAAGGAAGCATGAGAGACCCCACAAAGTGTATATATTTTTGATCAGTATCAAATTCTAAATCGATTTAAGCATGTCCGTCTGTCTGTCTGGCCGTCTGTGTAATGTCTGTTGTAAACATTCTCTTGGCCACAAGAACGAAGCTATCGACTTCAAATTTGACAGAAGCATTGGAAGTTCTTGCACGCAGGTCGGTATTGAAAATGGGCAAAATTGTTTGAAGGATACGCCCACAGCACAACGGACACCGACACCACGACGGCATAAACTTGCTCATAGCAATGTACAAAAATTTGATCGCATAAAAATGGAAAAACTTGACTACGCCTACCCAATATTGTAGTGTATCCAATTTTAATTGCTTTTTCAATATCTTTATCAGGCTTAGAAACAAGCTTCAAAAATCCCATAAAGTACACAAATTCTTGGCTAGTTTCAAATCTGGCATGCATCTGAACATGTCCGCCTTTGCGTCTGTTCATCTGTCTGTTCGCGCAACTTTGTAGTATTGATGGTAAACATTTTCCCGTTAGCGAAAATGATAATATCGCCTACAAACTCGCAAAAGACTGTGGAACTATGACAAAAGCTCTTATTTTGAAAATAAAAGAAATCAACTGCGCCCACTCCATATTAGAGAGCATGAGAATGTTGTTCTTTTACTTCTTTTGTCTTTTTTTGACGTAAATTGTGATGGATGTAAGAGACTGGGTCCCGACAGAATTTAATTTTCTTACGTGTTTCGATTGAAAAGAACCCATGGTTTAATAATAGACCCGTTTAAAAATTAAAATTCAATTTTATGGTAAAATTTTCGACTTTTTTCACAGTGAGGATCGTGTGCTATCATGCGATAGGACATTTCTACATTCCCCATTAAGATATTATATTCTTTTGCAGCAAAGGACCTTGATATGTATTTCTTCTTTTTGCATTCCCATCTTTTACAAGAAATCATGCGAACGATATTATTGCCATCCTGCCTTAGACGTGCAATATTTTCAGAGAATATGGCAGCAGAAATTGATCCTCGCTGCAGCGAGCTTGCTAGTACCTTTCGTTATTTTAATTTTTGCTTATTGTACTCAAGACGAATATACTCTTTGTTTTTAGATACTTTATTAGCGGTATTGATGTGAATGGATTATCTAAAATCAGTCTATAATTTTCTTTCTCTAAACCTTCACACGAACTGTTCTGCTGCTACGGCGAAACTAATGTGAAAATAATCCAGCAACATTGACTGCCCAAAAATTTTTTCTATCTCAAACTAAACATAATTTTAATGGAGCTAAACTATAAAATTTTTACTTACGTTTTTACTTATTTTTATAGTAAACGAGTTAACATCAAATTTTTGTTCGTTTTGTTATTAACAGTAATTATAATTATAAAATATTAGATGTCCGCTTACGTGGCCAACGGCTTGAAGAAGTTAAGTTCGACTTGATAAGCCGATCAATTGTTTGGAGTTCTTTGGGGAAACCAGTACTTGATTTTTACTTGATTTTCACTGTAGCGGTTTACGTAGATTGGTTAATTGTACGCCATCTTAACGAAAACTTTGCTTTACAGGCTTGAAATCAACTTCAAATTTTGCCAAAAATTTTGTGCAGAGAAAAACCTTTACGTTTAAATTATTTTTTCGCTATCAATTTTTTTATTTTTAAATGTGTCCAATCACTCAGGTTGAAGTCTCCCATACGTGAAACACAGTGACATAACAGAAGAAACAAGATACAGGGAGATGGAGTCGCAGTCTAGTGCGTGTGTGCATAAGACTTTTAAACCCTACATCGCTCGTGATGCAGGGATATATGAAATTTGCGTAGATATATGCAACAGTATGAGGTAAACCCACGTTTTATTACACCGACCGTTTTCGAATCAGTTTTTGAATTGTCTGTCCATCTTGTCGTCTTGTGTTCAACCTAGAAGTTGGAAGTTTTTGGATGTTTGGAAATGTTTTAAGTATAATACACTAATGTGTTTTGCTTCAAGGGCGAACGCTATTGAAAATGGTTCGGGTCGCACCATTTTTTCAATAGTGTTTTTACATGCGTTATTCGAAGCAATGATTGCTGAATAATAATATATCGGATATATTCAACAATTTATATGATTTGTGACTGGCGTAATTTGAGAATTATTTCAATGCAATTTATAAATATTATATTTCCCGTCACTTTTTTGACACAACGTATGTACCTACACATTTTTAACCTTGACGAACAAAGTTTAATTTTTTTGTAAAGACCGCTTTCAGATTCATATTTAAATTAAACACACACCCTTGTACGAGGATACCACGATATGTATTATTATCCAAAGACCTCAAGAAAAATTGAAACAAAACGTGGTATTGCACGCTATTTCTTTCTTGCCTTCTTTAACTTTCGACATTTATTTCGAACTAAGCATCTGTTTACTTAGATGGTTGGTTGGTTGGTGGATTTATTTATTTATTTCTTGTTCATAAGTTGCCTGCAACGGTAAAGGTAAAAAAGTGATTTCCTTTGTTGTGGATTTTCGTTATTAGTAAAGGGGACGTTATTACCTTAATCATCGATCGAGTAAATTAAGAAGAAAAGAAACTGAAAAAAAGAAAAAAAAAAAACTAAAGCAACAAAATGTGGAGAATTGCTAATAAAGCCGTTGTGGTATCTATCATAAGCAATTATACAAAGCTATGCACACAATTTAAAACACAATTTACTAAATTTTTGTATATATATACATATTTATATGTTTATGAATAAATATTGAAATGAAACAAGTAAAAACACTATGGTTTGTCGCGGCTCACTATTAAATACCCTACAGCACTTTGCAGTTGTTCAAATCAACACTTTTCAAAATAAGGCTTTATATGGGAAATAGCCGAACAGGTGATCCGATCCGAATCATTTCCAATCGAGCTCGTTCTTGGTCCAAAATAAATCGGTCTATTGCGGTCTGGAGGTTGGGTACGAAAAAACAAGGCGGACAGGCGGACAGGCGGACTGACGTGTTTAAATTGTTGCAGAAAGTTGGTCTGAATCGATCGGTACAACGAAAGGTCAATCGATCTTAAGCCGTTCCAAGTGTTGAACACACATTAGCACAAAACTCTTATATACTTTTGGACCATAAGTGGTGTAGGGTATAAAAATATCAAAATTCATATTCATTTCCTCCTTCTCCGTCTCCCCAAAATCAATCAATCCTATACATGCATAAGACTTCATTCACTCATTGGTCCCTTGAATTCAAGTTCTTCTCTTTGTAAATATGAACATTCATTCTTCCGTTTGTTGATGCTGTTGTTACATTTAGATTCGTTAGAAGACATATAAAAATAAAATCTTTAGAGATAGAGCGAAACAAAAAAAAAAAAAAAAAAATGATATGGCTTCGTCTGTAATTGAAGCTATTGAAGCTCCTAACGATGATCGAGCAGAATCCATTATTGCCAGTGATAATGATGGCCAGGTAAACAAGCAATCAATCAATGCAATATAATTTTTTCATATCTAAAAAAAAAAATTCTCAACTGCATGATTTTCGCATGAACCGTAAATATTTTTGAAAATTTTTAAGCTTCACTTAATTATTTATTTCAGTTCATTCATATGATAAACACAATTGTTTAAACTAAAATTTTAAAATATATTTTTTATATCTATACATAATACTATGGTTACATGTAAATAAAAAAAAAAAATAAAAAAAAAACAAAAAAGATTTTAAATAGGTAAGTAGTAAATAATTAAAATGGCAGCATACACAGACGATTTAACGAAATAGCGGAGACACTTTCTTCACATTTATCTTTTAATTAAATTTCGTTTTTTTTTTTTTTTTTTTTTTTGAATAAATGACTTGCATAATTGATTCTAACGAATGCACAAAATGAATCTTTAAATAGTTGGCGAAAACGGGAGCTGGTAAAGGAAAATCTCCGGGAGGAGAAGGAGCCGGTGATGCTGATGACCTTGATGCTTGGATTAAGTCGCGTCAACTACTTAAACCGGACGATCAACTAGAGCTGACAGAGGCTGAACTTGGCGAAGAAATAACCAAAGTTCTAACGCCCACCAATACTAATGTGGTTCTCAATTTAGTAGTGTACAGTTTCAAGGAGGGCACTTTTGTTAAGGTTGGGATACGAATGTAAAAATCATAAATATGCTTCAAGCAGTAATAATTGAACTGAACTTATGCGATTTTTATAGATTCCACCCGCTGGTAATACGGTCACAATATTTCAATATGCTGGCAACTCGATACATGTTGATTCGGACGAAGCGAAAGCTCAGATGGAAGAAACTGGGGAGATAGGTAAACTTAATAACTTAAACAATTGAGAAAAATTATTCCTTAAATTATTTTTTATGATATTTTTTGTTAAAGGGTACCCTTTGCCTACAAGCGCGCCAAGACCATCCGAGATAGATATTCTTCGGGCGCAAAAAGCTGCTGCTTTGGATGGCGAAGAAGCCGAAGAGGCTGAAGGAGAGGAAGGCGAGCCAGGCCAAAAAGATGAAAGAGGCCCTGAAGAGGCTGAAGAAGAGGGTGAAGAAGAAGAAGTCATGGACGAAGGTGAAGGCGAACGAACCGGGGAAGGTGAAGAAGTAACAGATACCCCGGCTGCAATGCCTGTCGCCTCTAGGAAACGAAAATTAATCAATCAATTTAATTTCTGTGAACGTGCTGCACTAACGTATACAAATCCGAAAAGAGTTTAGTTTTCTTGCTTTTTTTGTTATTTATTATATTTACGCTTGTTACTAAGATCTTTACATGAGTCCGTAGAGCGTACCGAGTAAATTTTAAAAGTAATTCGTTGGGAAACAAGTGATTAATCGATGTTAAATTATTATATCCTATTTCGATCTGTTTTTCTTTCACCCTCTACTAATAACCACCAACCTGATCACCACCATGCACAAGCGTGCAAAATGATATTCCCCGAGTGACTGGGGAGATAAAAAAAAGAAAAAAACATGAGTCAGTTGACTTTAATCAAGACTTCAGTCTTGATTTCCCCCACAACAGTGTTCACCTCTCGCTGAGATAGCTCAAGTTGTTTTCGACGTTCGTTCTCGCTTATTTCATGCTTTCTAACGCAACACATGTTTTTTTGTGAATTTTGTAACATATTTTCCCTAAATTTTCGAAATATAATTAATTTTTGTGTTCTTCATGGAGCCCAAAGCATGTTTTTTTGAAATGCCGGCACAATCTTAAATTTTGACTTAAAGATCAGTGCAAATGATATTTGCCGATATTTTAACAGTAGACGCGATACTCTTTCCCTACTTATGCTCCGGAAACATATTAAAAAAAGGTATCCTTGAGCAACATAGACTCACATCTGTCCCTCCGTCCCTTTGTTTTTATAGAATTACGTTCAAGTTTTCAAAAAGTTTTGAAAAAAAAAAAAACAAATTAAATTTTTCTATACCGTCCATTATTATTATTTTGTGTAGAACGTTGAAACTCAAACGATACCACCCCCCCGTTGCCAATACGGTGGTAACATATTACAATGGATTATTTACGATAGCTACGCTGAAGATTTTCAAAAGCAAAAAGAAAAAGAAAAGAAAGAAGACAAAAAGGTTCATCGCAAGGATGAGGTTAAGCAAAGCAAGATGGATCAAAAGACTATAATGGCAAAAATTTTAAACGATAAATATTTGAAATGCTGGCAAATACTAGAACGCATGATAAATCAGAATATTTACAAGGATATTGCGAACGATTATCGTTATTGGGAAGATCCGGCCGATGAATATCGCGAAGCTGAGGGCACGTTGTTGCCACTGTGGAAATTTCAATATGATCGCACTAAAAAGTTAAGCGTCACTGATCTAATGTTCAATCCTAATTATTACGACTTATTTGCCGTTTGCTTTGGTTCACGTATGTCAATCAAATATAAATACAACGTAACGTAACTCTCTAAACAATATCTCTTTTCTGTTATTTGTCTCTTTCTCTTCGTATTTAGATGATTTTTTGAAACAACCCAACGAGGGATCCTTGTGCTTGTTTACTATTAAAAATCCTTCATATCCCGATTATATTAGTACGTAAAAGCATACTTTATTCACAAAATGTCAGCAAAAGGTTTAAGTGACATTCGACATGAAAAAGTGATTAATTGTAGGAGTCCACTTCTATGATTTTCATTCTTAGAACAAAAAGGTTTTCTGGGCGACGTATGTAACAATTAGAAGGGCTTAACAAGCTTGTCTCTCCGTCTGCCCGTTTGAAGTTTGTTTACGTATTTCTGTGTTGAAGATGCACATCTCAGTTTCCAAGTTGTTTTGACGAAATACAGTATACCGATGTTTTTTGGTCCGAAGGCGAAAGCTGTTGAAAATGGGTCTGAACATGGACCAATTTATTGACTGCTGTCCACATAACGCCTAATTTTGATAAGTAGCGTAATTTTCCAAATTTTGCGACAAGAATCGCTATTAATTAGTTTGAAAACCTTGGGTCGGATGAGGCAATTCCTTTAAATCCTTGTATTAGGCGAAGTGATGTAGGGTAATTAATACACGGCCTGGCCCGATTATGGCAATCTTACTTTTTTTTTTAAATTTCATTTAATAGTTATGACACCGTGTGGAGTTATGTCGTGTGACATACATCCAAAGTATCCCTACTTAGTGGCCGTAGGCTTATATGATGGTAATGTAGCCGTTTATAGTTTAAAAGATAATATCACAAACCCTTTGTACATGTCAATGGGTATTACACAAAAACATGCCGAACTAGTATGGCAGGTATGTTAAGTTAAATGACGGAAAAGCAGTTCATTTTAAGTCTAATATTACTTGCTTGCGTGTCATTTTGCATAGGTAAAATGGGGTCCTGACATGACCGATGGAGAAATTAACTTCTATTCAGTTTCAAGCGGTGGACGCGTCTTTCACTGGGTTCTAATGCCAAATAAACTAATGGTAACGACAATTATTACAATGTATTTGGAAAATGCTCATATTGAAGGACCCGATGGTACTGAATTGCATTTAATGAGCTGCGGTTCCTGTATGAGATTTCATCCCACTGATCCTGAGGTATTCCTCTTGGGCACAGAGGAAGGCTGCATATATAAATGCAGTATAGCTTACAGTTCGAAATATTTAATGACTTATAGAGCACACAACTTAACTGTATATCGGATCGATTATAATCGCTTCAATTCGAATATCTTCATATCGTGCAGTGGCGATTGGCGCGTCAAAGTCTGGGAAGATATGAGACCAGAACCTTTATTCATATTTGATTTAGGCTCGGCAGTCGGCGACGTCAAATGGGCGCCATATTCAAGTACTGTATTTGCAGCAGTTACCAACGAAGGCAAAGTATATGTTTTTGACTTGAATGTTAATAAATATCGTGCCATCTGCGTTCAGGCCGTAGTCCCGAAACGTAAAAACAAATTGACCCGCTTATCTTTTAATGAGAAATTACCGTTCATCGTAGTGGGCGACGATAAGTATGCAAAAAAAAAAAAAAAAATGATATAAGTAATATAATCACTGTAAAGACACTAAATCTACATCATTTCCTATAAATCTATTTCTAGGGGCACTATAACATCTTTGAAGCTATCACCGAATTTGAGATTGATGGTGAAGCCACCAAAGAAACAATTATATCTGGATCAACACACCTTGCAAGTACAAAAGCTGGAAAGACTCTTATCGCTCGTCCGAGAATTACCGGAGGGGGCCGTGGTATCAGATCAGCCCGCCACAGTTAAGAGCTGAATCGACACAATTTCAACTATTTCGTATGCTTTATATTGTATATTAAAAAAATTCTCGCTGTTTTAGCGTAAACGATAAAACTCGAACAATATATGATAAATTAGCATTAATATAACTTTTCTATGACATTTGAGTGGTTTTTACTTTATACACATATGTATACAACTTTTCCGAACTGTTTCTAAATGGGTGCATACAAAGGTTAGTTCTGACGTGACAAATAATGCTTCACTCTTAATGAGTTCGATGTAAAGTAGGGAGCACCATATTGGGAAGATCGCTTTAAAAGCTAAAGTTGCCGCAATGTAGCCTGAATTCCTCTAACGATGTTCTGAAGCTTTCTATCCTTCACTTGTTTCTAATGGGCATCAGCAAACGATTTGAATAAAAGATAATTTCGAATAGCATCACCATGGTCACCACTTCGCTTTCTAGGCCGGTTGACAAAGCAAATGTGCAATATGCTGCATATTTTAGTTCTTCAAATTGTATTGCTAGACTTGAAGAGACTACCTGCCGATTCGGACTGCTCATATCTTTACAGGGAGAAATTATTTCAAGGATTGAATTCCTCCTCATTCTCAATAGCCAGTAAATATGAGTGTATCCTTTTCTCTAGCTGCTGTAACAAGACTGAAAGAATGAGCACAGAAGAGCAGGTTGCGACAGGCTCTTCTGTGGTTGCGATCACCATCGCTGTCCTGTTACATAGATGTTTTGCCTGTACGTGTGCTACAATCTCAACACTTACTTGTATGCTTGTGTTATAAGGATGCTCTTACGTATATCTTATTATTATTATTAATTTAGCCAGAGAGTAAATTCTAAGGCTATAGTCTTAAAGCACTAGCATCTAAGACTTTTTTTTTTTTTTTTTTTTTTTTTTTTTTTTTGTTTACTAAAAACCCTACCGCACTTGAGATTTGAACTCGCGACCACTGAGTTATTAATCGAGACACCTCCTCCTGCCTACTCGCCCACACAGACGGATATATATCTTATTATTATTATTATTATTTTAATTTTAGACTAATGAAATGAATTCTTAGACTTAAAAACAGACATTGAGCACTAGCAACACAGGCTATATATTATTGAATATTGGCTGCTCAAGGTACGAAGGGGCGAATACAAAGTAAGCGCAGGATATGAGTTAGGTAAAAAATTTTCAATATTGGAATAAAACGGATTATAAACAAACAGAAATAAAGTTTTTCTACAGTTAATTCTTCGGTCTTAATTCTATAGAATGCTTGGCCAGCTTTGTGCCGTAGCTTGTTGTTTTTTACATCCACCACCGAATGAGAATAAACGTATATTCGTTCTCATTTGTTTTGCATGTATTGTGCCGCTTTGAGAATAAACGTATATTCGTTCTCTTTTGTTTTGCATGTATTGTGCC